ACTTTTTTCATCAAGAAAACATGTAATTTAATGTTAAGCAAGTAAAGCATAAAACTCATATACATGGTAAAACACTGTCAGATGCAGAAGCACGAGGACGGTTTTATCTTAATTCTAGTATTAAATGTCGCAAAACCCCAAAATCTTGGCCACGGGTTTTTCGAAATGTATTTAAACGCATTCAAAACTGCTCAAGACTAGCAGAACTACAGCTTGCAATGACATCACGTGGCGAGTTACCAAAGCTGCAGAACTCAATACTTTCAAGCTGAAGAAAATTCAAGATTGTTGTCTTCATGATGTGGTGAAATGGCGTGTCCTTAATCCTTTTCGTATTCTGATATCGACAAAAGCTGGATCTTTACCAATCTTGTTATAGATTGACAGCAGGGGCGCATCAAAAATTTTCTCGAGGGGGGGGGGGGGGTATTTTAATTTTCTGCGCCCTCCCAAATCACCAAAAATTCCCCATTTCGACAAAATTTGAGCCGCAGGCAAGTTTTTGAAAAACAAGCCTAAAAAGGCGTTTTTAGGCAATTTTTGGAAAATTTAGACCAAAAAATTGCGTTTTTTCGCCGCGCGCTCCCCCCTCAAAAAATAGTATTTATTGGAGCCAAAAGCGCCCTTGGAAAAATTTTAGGTTACCTCACCAAAAATAGATATCTCAAAGTAGTACAAAGGGGGACTCTTTGGGTCGGCCGCTAAATCCACTACTGACTGTCAGTACCAAAAGCAACAACTTGGGTGGAAGTGATTGAAGGCCCATTCTAGGTCCATTTTAGGAGTTTTTCCAGCCAAACCCCTATGCTTTATTTTAAAAATACAATTCACAAATGTACAAGTAAACTGATTGTTACAATAACTCTTACATTCAAATTAAAGTCTAAACAAATTTCTCCAACCAATTTTTTTGGTAATTTTACGAGGAAGTGGGAACTTGGAAGCCAACGGTAGAAACTTTCTTGCGAACTAAGTCATATATCTTTAGATGTTGCGGGACCATTGTTGACCCTCTTTTAAAAAAAATGGGTAGCCAAATATTCAGATATTCAGAAGGTTTGGTTTTAAGAAGACAGGGCAACTTTCCCGGATTTGAACCCTTAGACTTCCGGTTTTGGAAAACTGTGGGCGCCAAAGTTTTTGATGCTAAGCCTAGGTCAGTGAGAGCGTTAGTAGAGACTGTTGAAACAATTTGTGCCGAGATTACATCCAAAGTGAAAAATAAATTAAAACGTGCCTGGAGGCGGATATTTCCTGCTCATATTGTAAATATTTCATAAATTGGCAAGAATCACAAACTTGTCTATTCAGTGCAAACGATTGTTTCAAAAAATTTGTAAAATAGAGAAAAAGACCCTGCTGTTTTTTACAGAATTTTTCATATACCATCTGAAGCTATTTTTTGAGTTGAAATTTAAAAGATTTTTGTTCCATCTTTTATCATTTTTCATGAAAAGTTGGCTGACTTGGGACACTTAACATGTAATTTATTTCGTCCGTCTAACGGTAAGCTGCTATTTAATGCGGCTCAGAAATCTTAATTGAATTGAGGCAACCTATTTGGACTTATTGTTCCGTTTTTCAAAGAACGGGTTTTTTGGGCTCGGGTGGTTCTTTCTCCAGATAGTATTCGAAAATTTAAGTCGCATTTTTTGACAAAAATTATTTGCATCATTTCGAAAGGTTTGTTGTATTGAGCTCAATCTTAAAACAATATTTCACCTTTGATCATTTTTTTGTAAAGTTATGGTGGTTAAATTATTGCTGTTTTGGCCATTTGGGATAATTAACGCGCGATTTTTTTCGTGGTTCTAACGCGAAGGCCGAGACTTAGTCCGTCTTAAAAATGGTTCCATATCAAAATGAGGAGTGTTGTTTGTTTCATTTAGCATTAGCCTATATGCAAATCATCATATCACTTTGTTCTTTACTTAGCGCGTAGGGTGCGATTTTCAAAATTGTCTCAATTTTTTTTTTGATTTTTATTAAGTTTTTTTTTCATAATTTAAAGTGCAGTCGCATCATTCAGGGTGTAATATGAGCAGTCTTGTTAATTAGTTACAGCAGTAATCACCTTACTAATTTTTGCACTAATCACATTCAATAATGCTTTCAAATCAAATCAAGGGTTCTAGGATTGAACAAGACTGCTCCCTATAACAAAACAAAGCCCTAAAGTTTCAAACGACTGATTTTACGCAGACAAAACAAACGGAAAAATGACTGAATTAATGAATGAATCTATAATTCATCTGAATCTCAGATGCGGATGCTCATCGGGCTAATAATAAAGGATTTACTTGAATGTTTCACACTTTTGTAAAATGGGAGAAATTCAAAACTAGGAAGAAATATCAAACAAGACTGCTCGTATCAGGGTGAAGCCCTGAATGTTCCGACTGCCTTTTAAGGTTTATGCAGCAGTAATAACATTAAAAAAATTAAATGAAATGAATTAAAATGAAATTTTTTTTTCCAAAACTTGAAATTTTTTCCATGAAAATCATACCCCCACACGCCATATAAACTACAAAAGAATAGATTTCGCTCCTTGTATGTAACAAATCAATTATGACAAATAAGCTTCTTTCAACCAATTTGGATCGATTTCTAAGACGGATTAAACCTCCACTTACGCGTTAATAGCGCGAAATATATCGAACGTTACTTGTCCCAAATTAGCCAAAATGGTTATCTTTAAACCCTCATAACTTTACGAAAATTCATCACAGGTGATTTTTTTTTTCAAATTTTAGCTCAGGACAACAATACCTTTTGAATGATAACAAAGTTCCGTCAAAAATTTCTAGTTAAAAAGTCGAAATTTGTCTGAAGAAAAAAAAAGCACACCTCGCGTATCATCCAGGCTGCCGGTCCACTTTGGGGCAAAGTGTGTGTAGGTCGAACAATGTGAGGGTTAAACTGAAGAAATACCCACGTCATTCATTATTCGAAAATTCGTTGTCTTACTTAGTAAACGGCGCTTCTGTAACTTACTTAAGTTTTCTTTGTTGAAATTGGAGTTATGTATACTGCATTGAAACTTTAATTGCCTTTAAAACATTTATTCATGGAATAAGTATGTAATCAACAATTGAAAATTTTGCAGGTTTAATGGCCTGGTCAATTTAGACCAAAAAACATTCTGACTTTTAGAAAAAACTCAACTATTTCATTATAAACTTTAAGCCTTTTCTTGTTCTCCTGTCAATTTCGATTACATAATAATAATTTCGTTTTTCATCATGAAACTGTTTCACTTGAAGCAATTTCAAATCAATGTTTTGCTATTTTTTCGTTCCAATTTATTTTTATGATTTCATTAAATTTTCTTAAGCAAATGTTTATCCAATAGCGGCACAAAGAAGCAAAAGCTTGTAAAGATAAAGGTTCTTTTGATTCCGACTACTTTCGAAAAACAGACAGAATAGTTGTGCTCCAAGTATTTCTTTTCTTCATATAAATAACGACTTTTTAACAAGCCTTTTAAGACGGATTTTTGTTTATCTTTCAAAAATCAATGCTGTGTTGAGGTCGAATTTAAAAAAAAAAACATTTTTTCTTTTGATTGATTTTTAAAGCTATGGGGGGCTAAATATTACCAATTCGCCCAAATTATGATAAATAACGGCCGATATATTTTGTGCTATCAACTCGTGAGCGGAGATTTAATCTGTCTTAGAAATGGTTTCAAATTGAATTGAGGCATGCTATCTAATTTATTTAGGACTTTTTTGTTTATACAAAGTGTATCACTTTGTACTTTACATATTTTGTGTGGGTTGATTTTTAAAAAAAATCTCAGAGAAGTTCTGAGTCTGTCTTTTTTAAAACCAACACTATTCAAAAAAAGTAGTCAGAACATTCAGGGCTTCGCCCTGATACGAGCAGTCTTGTTTCCCTTCAAATGAATTCTTTTTCTGACCTTTGTTACAGAAAACTATCAAAAATCTAACTGATTTCTATTCTGTTTCGGTTTCGTTTCAAAGTTTGTGTTTCTTTACTTAGTTCAAAACCAATGGCGGCTCTAACGAGATTGTTACCCATACCGGGGTTTAAAATTTTTTATTTTTGCGAACAGTTTATCATTTTGAAAATGAATATTTTGTTTTTTATGTGCTTTACTAACCTGCAGTGAAGCTGTTGATCTTATAATTGAAATTTGAGGAAATTTTACTTTAATTTAAAAATTATTTTTTCTTTCCGCGGGAAACCTTAGATCTCAAAGAAAAAATTTTTCTCTGAAAATTTTGTTTTAAGGTCAGCAAACCTCCTCAAATGATTGTTGTTGATTGCTATTTTCTGACGAAGGTCGTTTCTGAGCAGGTTGTCTGCTCAGTTTCCAGTAAAAACTTAGAGAAAATTTTGAAACAAATAAATTATGCTTAATTTTTTGACTTTCTCCGCTGAAATCAGGTATTTATCGACCAAGCTCGACTTTTATTTTGACTTTCTCGACCAAATTCGGGAACGTTTCGACTGTGCTTGTCCTATATTTGGACTTTATTGACTATCAAATTCCATGAGTGAACCGAAAAAAAATTATAGCATGTGCTTTTCAGTTGATTTTTTGTGATTGTGCTTAGACAAAGAAAAAGCTATGGCCAACAGTAACATGGGCAATTCCAGCATCGAAATTAATTTTTACAAACTGAATCTTCCAATTTTGACTCGAGCTCAGAATCAATTTGTTTAGCCGGGCCAAGTTGCTCGTCTTATGCTTCAACTTTGAAAGTCGAGCAAATGCAGTTTTTTGACCGACAACCCGCGGTCGAGAAGGATATTTAATTTGGGCATAAGCTCAATTTTTTTAAATAAAAAACTTTAGTTTTGCTCTAGGTAAATCTGCTTCTCGACAGCGGATTTTCAGTCAAAGAATTTCACTTAATCGACTTTCAAAATCGAAACATAAGTCGAGCACCTCGACCCGGGTATCAACCCACCTAATCGCCAGCCAATGCACATAGTGTTTCCCCATAATGTCTGCGAAAACTAAGCGGTTCACAAAATTCGTCAATTCCAATATTTATAGACAACCAGGCAATATACAGTATGGAGTATCGAAGTACAAATGTATAAAAATAAAACTCTCGGTATAATTAAAACAATTGAAAAAAAACAACAAATTATAAATTAATCAAATTAAAGTAACATATTGGGGTGACGCTTGATTCCTATGCTTCATAATACATTTAAGATGTTCTCCTTCAAGAAAATGAATGATTTTTTTATCAATATATCAGCATTAGATTTGCACATTAACAGTATATGCTGATTCACCTCACAAACTGCTGTTTTCCGAATTTTTTGAATAATTTTACAATTCATCGCAGAAAATAACGTAACTATTGAAACTTAAGTTAATGAAGTTGGAGAAAAAAATTTGACAAGCATAACAATTTTTCTCGCTCCATGCTGACTTAATGTTAATCTCGTCAAGTTCCGGGCCGCTTTAGCTTTCGTACATTCTTCTTTGCGTTTTTTGAGTAGAGAAGATATTTTCTCAACTCCTGGCACTGTTAATGCTTGTTATTGTTGTTGTTGTTGCTTGCTGAGCCTGCAGCGTGTTGTTTGCTGGATTGGTGGTGTGTACCCTTATGACCTTTGTGTCTTCTGGCCTTGGCTGCCTCCAGGATCTTATCCAGGGCACTTCTCACCTGCGAAACGAAGGCTAACTCCGTTTAATAAACCAATAATTCATTAAAATTAATTTCAACTTTTTTTAATGTTAATTTTGTGGGTATGCTATTGAGTAGCTATGTATCCTCCGAACTTTGTTACAACTCAAGTTATACAATGATCGAAAAATCGTTTTTGAGAGTTCAAATTTTTTTCCCGAAAAATGATAAATTTGACATGCTTCATACACAAGGGGGCGTGTATTTTAGTTTTTTATAGATTTCAATATCTACTATTTCCAAATAAGGATTTCAAAACGGGTGCCGGACATCAAGCCGACGGGACTTCAAGCCGAATCGTAAAATTAGGGACTTCAAGCTGAATATATCCTTATAAAGTTGTGAAATATGATTAATTAAAAAAATTTTTTGAAGAATTTCAGAATTTCATTATCTTTCTTCTCTAGTTATTGGCGTTTTCATAAAATTTAAGCCTCCACCTGATGTTTGGGAAAGTTGAAAAATAAAATACATTTGAGGGCGTTTTTCATGTTTATAATGTAAGCATTTCAAATACCGGCTGAAGTTATTAACGGATGCCAATCCCAAATGGTGCATTGTCATGAATAACGCTTTTTATGGACTAAACTTGCCTAGATTTTAGAAAAGCAACGTTTTACAGATGAAAAAATAGTGTTTTGAGGTGCTTTTAAAGTTCAAAATTTGGCCTGAAGTCCCTTCGGCTTGAAGTCCCGTCGGCCTGTTGTCCTAGACCTATTCAAAACAACCCTAAGAATAATGGGGGCTATTCTCGGGGAGGGCTCTCATGCTTGAAGGACCGAATGACTGAAAAATTTCAACCAATCAAAATCGCTAAGCGTTACTATTGGCTAAATGCCTTTCTCACAAAAACGAAGACAATAATAACAGAAAATGTTTTAAATCAGTGGAAAATAATCAAAAGTATTACAAATTGCAGGTTACGACTGCAATACTATTCAGATAAACATCAAGATTTATGAGTTCAAGTTTATAAGAATTTTTCAGTCTTGAAAACTCATCTGCTTAATATCTAATCGGTCAATGTTAACTCTAATCACCTGGATTTATTCTCTTACTTTTGAGATTTTCACGATTTACTTCGAGATTTTGAATACTCAATTCTGGTTGGCTGAAACTAATCTAAAATAAATTTCAAGCATTCGGTCCTTCAAGCATGAGAGACGCCACCCTATTCTCACTATTCTCATGCACGAAGGACCGACTGCTCAAAAAATTCAACCAATCAATGCTCTTTAAACTCAAAACTATTTCCTTTGAAATATGAATGAATAAATTTTGATTGGCTGTCAAATTTTCGCGCGTTCGGTCCTTTAAGCATTGTATGACTAGCGTCTTCCCAGGTGGCGTCCCTCATTCTTGAAGGACCGAATGCTTGAAATTAATTTTAGCTTACTTTCAGCCAATCAGAATTGAGCCTCAAAATAAGAAAATAAATCCAGGCCATTAGTGTTAATATTGACCAATTAGATAATAAGCAGATGCGTTTTTCGAGATTGAAAAATTCGTATAATTTTGAACTCATTAGTCTTGATGATTATCTGAATAGTAATGCGGTTGTAACCCGCAACTTGCGACATTTTTGATTAGTTTCTACTGATTTAATACTTTTTCTGTTAATATTGATTTCGATTTTGTGGGAAAGGCATTTAGCCAATAAAAACGTTTAGCGATTTTGATTGGTTGAAATTTTTCAAGCATTCGGCCCTTCAAGCATGAGAACCCTCCCGGTCTTCCCATATATACAAAAACAGATATACATGATTAGCGTAGTGTTTGTCAGGACCAAATGGAACAAAAACAGCGGGGCTACACATTTTATTAATATTTCCCAAGAACATGGCGACAAGACATGACTATGACTATGACTCTGACTCACCTCCCCCATGTGTGGTCGTCTGTGGGGGGTGGCGTCCCAGCACCACTGCATCAGTTCCCACGCATCCTCCGTGAACACACTCAGTCTCTCCGGCCGACACCCCTTCTGCACCGCACTCCACAGGCTCTCCTGATGTAGTTGAAAAAAACGGGTCATTTTTGGATCTCTTTGACTTTATCCCCCTTTTTACAAAAGGTGGGATTTTCGTTATTGGGTTTAAAATCTGACGTGCTTAATTGTTGATATATTTCTTTATAGGGGGGATATTCGTTACTAGGTACCCGATATAGTTAAAGAGATCCCTTTTTATACGTCCCAAAATTGCCAAATCATTGATATGAGCTTCTGGTTTTTTTTTGATCGTTGCTTGAATTTCGCTCCAATCACGACAGAATTAAGTTTATTATGATCTATGAAAAAAAATTAAAACTAAAATGTGCCCTATTTGCGGCAATAAAGTTGCATAATTGAACTATGATAAGTCTTTTTCATAGCTATAGAAACTGTATGACTAGCGTTTAGTAATATTAGCAAAAATGTGTTTTTAGATTCGCGTAACCAAAAACCAAGAAAGAAAAGCCTCGTTACGGAGACAATTATTATTTCGCTAACGAAATGCTCCGATGTTTCCCTGCAAAAAAAAATACGGCGTGTCGGCCAATATCAAATTTGTAAGCAAACTATTATTAAAAACCAAAACTAAAAATTGATATTAATTTTTTGAATATAGTTCAGGACTTTTAATTTACTGCCAAGTTCATTCTTAAGTCAATAATTGAAAAAAACATGAAAAAGAACAACTTACAGAGAAGGTTATTTAAAGTTTTTAAAAAAATGCTTAAAAAATAATTTTTAAGTTATAAAAAATGCTATTTATAGTTTTTATATATGGTAAATTATTTTCATAATTTGTTTTACTTACTTCAAAGGCTCAACATCAAAGCCTGCCCCAAATTGACAAAACTTGTTTCGAATTAATTTTTGTTTTGATTTTGAAAAACTGTATGGCGAAAATTTTTGCCTGCTCTTTTCTTGATTTTTTTGATCATCATTTTTTGTGTATGTGGTTTTCTTTACCAAGAAAAAATCATAAGCTAGGAGAACTAAATTTTTGGCTGAAGATCAGTAGAAGAACCTAGAACCTAGAACACACGGAAAAAAAACTTAAGTGAAAACAGAAGAAAAAAATCAGATTTCTTATAATGGTTTGGCAAAATTCAAATTTTCTGTATCTGACAACAAGATTTCTTTTGAAAAAAATAGTCTCATTAAAACATGAAATTCTCTAGACAAAAAAAATTTTTTCAATCAAAAGTTTCAATTAAATCTACAGCATTCGATTTGAATTTTCAAATATTATGATTTTCTGTCTCGGAACAATTTGAGTGAAAATTTTGAACAAAAGATAGTGGATACACTTTTTAAACATTATTTTTTGGGTAGATACACTCAAGTTTGCTTTGACAAAACAGTTTTTTTGTTAAATTAAATATGTGCCTAAGAACTTCTTTTGATTATAAGTTTCAGCTTTTCTGCCAAAAAGGTAGTGCAATTTATGATAATTTTATGTTATAGTCGTGAAACTATGATTAACATACTTTTTGTGTAACACATACATCAATCAAGAAATGCCAATCAAAATTTTCACTCCTTGAAATTAAAAAAATTGAAGTTTAATCTGAAGCATGTTGTTTGCTATTATACTTAACCAGGGCAACGCTTCAGTGTCATTTATCCACTACAATTTACCTAAAGATTCACAAGTCAATTATTGTTCCAACATTCGTAAACGAAAGTAATGGAATATTTGTGCTCGGGGTGGGTTTTTTTTAGACAAAATTTTGACATTTTGACTAGCCATTTTGACTAAGTTTTTTATCACTCAAAAGGTATTGTTGTCCTGAGCTTAAATTTAAAAAGATATTTCACTTGTGATCGTTTTTCGTAAACTTATGGGGGTTTAAAGATTGCCATTTCGGCCAATTTGTAACAATAAACGCGCGATATATTTCGCGCTCTTAACGCGTAAGTGGCAATTAATTCCGTCTTAGAAATTGTTCCCAATTGGTTGAAGTAAGCTTATTTGCCCTAATTGATCTGCTACTCGTAGCAAAATCTATCTCTCTGTACTTTATATGGCGTGTGGGGGATGATTTTAACAAAAAAATCTCAAGGTTAAAATAAAAATTACTGTAATTTATTGCGATTGATTTTTTCATGTTATTACTGCTCCATATACCTGAAAAGGCAGTCGGAACATTCAAGAAAAAAAACTATATTTTGTAAAAAAAAAAACCCTAAATTTTATATTAAATTTTTAAAAAATAAACAAGACTGCTCGTATCAGGACAAAGCCCTGAATGTTTCGATTGTCTTTTAAGGTCTATGAAGCACTGTTCTGTTCAAGTCTCAATTTAATTCATCCCCCACGCGTCATAAATACAAAGTGGTAGATTTTGCTCCTACTAACAAACAATTATGGCAAATAAGCTTCCTTTAACCAATTTGGAACGATTTCTAAGACTGATTAAATCTCCGCTTACACGTTAATAGCGCGAATTATATCGCGCGTTAATTGTCTCAAATTTACCGTATTGGCAATCTTGAAACCCTCATAACAGGTAAAATATCTTTTCAAATTTGAGCTCAGGACAACAATACCTTTCGGCTAATTATGTCGAATTTTGTCTGAAGAAAAAAAAACCACCCCGAGCAAATACTCCGTTATTTTCGTTACGAAAGTCGGAACAAAAAAAATACTGGAAACAATCTGATGCTTTTTGACTTCTATGGGTTTTGTTGAACTGGATTTTTCAACAAAAAAATCAATATTTCTTGGAATTGTTTTTCAATTGGAGTTTTTTAAAATTCAAATAAGACAAGAAGCTCTTGTATGACCACATACTGCTACTTCAGTTTTACGTAAAAAGAAATATTTTTATTTATATCTCCTTTCATTTCAGTTTTATTTTCAGTTTTTATGTTAACAAGACTTTGTTTTCAAAAAACGGATTAAAATTTCAGTCACTAGGCTGATAAAAAGTTCTTACCTGCTGAAATAGTTCAGTAGTAATTACTCTTGATTAAAATGAATATTTCAGTAAATCAAAACTCAAGACTAATTTTCTAGAAACAAAAAACTCACTTTGCTGGGACAGTTTTCAAAATTCCTCGGCAGACGAACTGTTCCAGCGGCCGCGTACCAGAACAAGATTCCGAACGCATACACATCCACCGAGTGGTCGTAACTTCCTCGACTCAATTCCGGACTCATGTGGATCGGAGTTCCGACCACACTCCCACTTATCATCGACTCCGCCTTGCAAAACCCAAGGTCGGTTATGTAACCTCGATTGTGGTCGTCGAGTAAAATGTTACGTAACTTCACGTCTCGGTGGATGAGTCCTTGACTGTGGAGGAACCGCAGACCTTCCACGACGTCTATGGACACTGAGAGTCTCTCGTTGTATGGCAGATGGTACTTAATGGAGGTATAGAAATCTCTAGGATAATAATCCATGATCAGCAAAACTGCGGGCATACCCCCAGGATACATGTAGTCGATGACCGAGCCTCGGATTTTGACGATCCGGTCATGATCGGGCAAACTGCGAGCATAATAAAATTCCATCGAAAGATCAATCCAATGCTTTTCGTCAGGAGGTACTATACTCTTAACAGCACATGGTCTGTAGTTTCCCCAAGAAGGGCAAAAGGTTACGACCCCATATTGGCCTCGACCCAACTCGCGGGTGACCTTGGGCATCCCGTAGAGCATCGCGTCTCGTAGAGAGACTGACTCGATTGCCAGTTTTGCACTTTTAGGGGACATGTTTTTTCTTAGCTTGGATTTTTGGTTCTGATTTTGCTCGGATATTTTGTCCAGACGATTTTGAAGCTGTCTTAGCGTAGATAGAAAGTGATTATGTGATTCGGTCACAATAGAGTTAAATTGAGTGCAGATTAATTGTGTTAACTTCGTGTTACTCAGGCTGCTAATAGTTTGATCGGCGACGTCTCGGCTCCACTCTTGAGTCGGGAGGGGGAGTGCTTTGAACGAGCAGAAATTACAAGCGAATCGAACAGAATCGAAAAGACGTTTTCTATACAGAGCGATAGACGAAGGCTTAACCTCTATTAGACTTGCAGAGTCTATTAGCTGGTTAAAAGCTAGCTTACAACTGATATTAATATCTTCAAACCTAACTGTATTTGTGTATGCAGTTCTTTCTAATGTTTCAAGTGTGCGCTCCATTACGTCCCTAAACGGCTGCTGAAGCTCCGGAATGCAGTTCGTGAGCTCGGCAACAATTTTATTATTCAGAATCTGAAGTGTCAAGTTTTGAATTTCCAGCTCGCATTTGTTGAGTTCGGTAACTTTGAGCAAATCTCGATGACGAGATGACTCGGAAATTGAAACGAACTCGTGTCTTTGGGCTTCTTCAATCACAGTACTTCGGACGTCTTGAATTGTGGTTCGGATTCTTTCACGAATCTCGCCCTCTTTCTGGTTCACGATTTCCTTCAAAGCCTTGAAAACTCTTTTCTCGTAACTTTTCACAAATTTCAACCTGGCGTAGTTGACTTGAGTGTCACGTGATATCTGAAAACCTTCGCAAACTATACTTTGCAGTGCGTGTTGGTGAGACCTGAAAACTTCGTTTGAAAGGCTGATCAAGTTTTTGTTTAAGCACCTTTTCAGGAATTTGATGAAAGCTGGGAAAGTTTCAAGGTCGCCTGCATAGTCGCTTTTGAGGTCAACAACTCCAGTATCTTCGTCAAAGTGAAGATCCTCGTTAAAAAGCGGAGTTAACTGAATTCTTCTGGGATTGTCCGTAACACTGGTTCGAGGTCTGTTGCTATACGGCAAGAAAGGATACTCCTCTTGATTTTGCTCGTATGGTGTCGAGTTTGCAAATTTCCGAACGGATATTGAGCTCATACGACTCGTGGGGTACAAGTCGGCATTAATGAGGTCCTGAATTTTGGCGATCGCAATCTGTTTGACATTGAAACCCAAATCGCGTAGTTGCTTCACTACTCCGTCTTTCAAAGCGTGGTCTTCCGATTCTGTTAAGTCGTTTTGAACTCTGGATTTGGTGTTAATAAAAAAGTACTCGATGTTTGGGTCAATTGATCTGGCAGATTTCAAGTCCTCGACATCCTCGGAACTCAGGTGGTCGCAACTCAGAGCAAAAATTGCGACCGGGCAGACATCCCGGATACACTCTTTATGTATTTGAGCCGTTGTTGCGTGTGGGTTATTACAAGGCGATACGAACACCTGGCTTCCGTCTTGCAAGAGTGCGTGTGGAAGTTTAATCTCCAGGAACGTCTTGCAGAGATCCAAATTTTCTCGGTCAGCTCCTCGAAGACGGTACTCTTCGTAAGGTGCTAGTGCAACGCCTCCAGTGCCAGGAGATGATCCTTTGTTCATCATGTGTCGCATTTCAATGAAGTCATACTCTTCCAGATATGACCCAGCTATTGATATATTGTACTTTTGCGCCGTTCCGTACCGAAATTTAACCATACGCTGCGTTTCCAGTTCTTCATTAAGCGGCGTGAGAGGTAAAATTTCCTGGCCAAAAAGTTCTTTCACAATTTTCGCTTTCGCCACACTATCTTGACCAAAAACTATTATACAGGGGGGCCGGGCTAGCTTGTTTAGTGTTGAGTATTTTTCACAAGCATCTGCCATGACATTCCGATAGGAAGCCAGAAACTTACTCTGGCCATAGCTGTCCAGAAAGACGTTGTTCGATTCCAGTTCCTGGAACAAGCCAACACTGGAGCTGGCGAGACTTCGGATTCGTTTGATTAGTCGGAAGTACGCGTTGAACTCGTGGGCTAATTGGGCTGAAAGAATCTGGGGGTTTTTGGACTGTGAAATTGGGGTTATACTTCGGCTGCTGTTTAACTCGAACTCGGAAAGCTTCCGATAGTATTTCAGGGCAATATTCTTCCGATCCCGTTCTGTATTCATCTTACTAGATCGATATCGAAAAGGCGAGAGTAATTGCAAATATCAACAAAACAACAAATATCGATAGTTAGCTTTAGACCAACTGAAATTTGTTAAAATTTACCGAATGAGGAGCAAATCCAGGGCAAAAATGTGATCTCGATGTTATAGCCTTTTGGCTTCATTTGTTCGATAAAGAAGTTGAAACAACGATGACAAAGAAGTTATCTTGGATCAAAGAACGTGGTAAGAGCCTTCCTATGTTGATTCGTCTCCATTTTTGGACATATTCCAGATAACCAGAGGTTATATAAAGCTCTTCCGGTGACTTTGAGACTTATAAACCAGTGATCACACAATCGACAGATAAACATACGTCCGTATCTTATATGGCTTTCATAGCTCATTCGATGTTTGGAATGTGCGATTAAGTAGAGAGTTGAGGATGGTGAATCTGCATGTGATTTTGGTCTCCAAGCGAGTGTATAAGTGTCGCGAAGATTCAATTGTCAAACAATCATCGATTTAATCTATTTGTTCGAAATCGATTAGCAAACTCAATAGAAAAACTCGAATTGTGACTTGCTATGAAAGAAAGACCAACAGCAAAACTGCAGTTTAAGTTCAAGTGACCTTTCCAACTGCAGCTAAGCTTAGATTTTAATTTAAAAATTTTGAGACTTGATGAAAGAAATCTAATTTCGAAATGAAGTTCGAAAGAAGATGGCATTGTATATTAAAGCTACCAAATTAAGAATACTTTCTGTTAGACCATAGAAATCGTAATAATGCTGGCTGTACCAAAATAAATCCCGCAACAATCAACTGCTTATTAGAGCTGTTTTAAGGTAGAATTCACAAAATAAGATCGAATTTTTTTTGAAAGACGAAATAGTCGGGAAATTTTTCTATTTTTTTGTCATTTTGAACCCGCCCCTTCCTCGAATGGCACATTTTCGATGTTATTCTACAATGCCCAGCTTTCACCAACCAAACTCAAAAAAGAAGCGACTGTGAAGTGGTTACGTCCCCGCCTCTCAATCGAAAAGTCGGATGTTCGAGGACCACTATGATCCGTGCTCATTGCTTGCGGGTGAGACAAGATTACCCAGCCCAGAAAAGAAACCAAAAAAATTGGACGTAGTTCTCAAGCAGGGGAACAACAGCGTAATGAGCTGCACAGCTCGTATGTTGGTTATTTACCTCGTGGATAAATGGTCTTTATAAAAATCTAAAACAGGCAAAAGATCGAAAATTTTCGAAATATTTCCAGCAAAGCAGTAAGATAAAAACCTCTTTGTGATGAGAAGCGCTATTCAACAGAATGTATTCGAGTGATAAAAACAGAACGAAAAACGGATAATCAAGAAGTCGTTATCCTCAATGGGGTAAAAAAAATTCGTTGGAAAAAATTATATCGATCGGTGAAAATTAACTGAATAAAACAAACCACACCGAGCATTAATATTCCGTTTTTTTAACGAAAGTCGGAACAATAGGTTCCAGAGCAAAGCGATAGGAAACTCCATGCAGCCTACTGATGTCAGAGAGATAAACATATATTTTTGACACTGTGGTAACTACTGAAAAGTAAAAAAAATATGAAAAATGATCTAAAGGGTAAGGAATCATTTATTTCATTGACCCTTGTAGTCTCCCGTTTGCACACCCGTTGAATTGTTTAGGCAATTGAAATTTAAAAGCCATCGAAGTTTATATATTTGAATTGGTTGCAAGTAGAAAAAAAGTTTAAGAAAATTACCTCTGAAAGTCTAATTAGCATTGAATTTCTGTTGCAGACAATTTCTACACGTTTTTGAAAATTCAATTATTGAGGGGCAGTAAAACAGTACCAAAATACGACAGTGCCAAAAAATAAAATTTTGCTCAACAGTGCCGAAAATTATTTTGAATGCTCTTTTTTAATCATCCCAAACCAGCGACATGTCATTCAGTTCAAATGGACTGAAGTTGAAAAGACACAATTGGTCATTTTGATTGCTGTCGCAAGTTAAACAAACAAAAGTTCCACCGTGAGGCGTCATAAATTTTTCTGAACCAACAATTAACTTAACAAATTGTCCTTTTTTTCTCGGTTTCATTTCAAAATAAAACATTATTCACGCAAAACTGCTTACAGTTCACAAACTGTACTCAAAATTTTTTAAATATTATCAATTTTTGGCACTGTTGAACACATTTTCAATTTCGGGACTGTTGTACATCGGCACTGTTGAAAGCCCTTATTTTCCACAAAACCCATACTCATCTACTAGGCACCCATAAACTTACATTTTTTGCATTGAACACGAACTGGAAATAAGAAAAAATTTGCGCTATATTGAGATTTAATTGATTTCTGTTTGACCGCGTAGAAACTTTTGAAAGCACTTCATTCGTTAACATTGTTGCGCGGGCTTTTTGGAAGATAACCGTTAAGCAGCTATCGTTGTCAGGCAGTCCAACTGAAAAAATATGTACCCATTGTGTTTGATTAACATAAGAAAGAGTGGAACCAACAATGATCCCCGCAGAACACTTAGCGAAAAATCAGCCATATTAGAAGTTTAAGATCTTTGTTTTTGGGGAAAAGAAGAGAAGAATTGCTCATAAGACCAGGTTCTTCTATACTTTCCGTGGTCGCAACAACAAACAACAAATAAAATTTCAAATAAAAACAAACACCTGATTTCTGTGACAAGCTTACAAAAAATTTGATACCACGGAAATAAGCAAGTAAGCAGAACGAAAAAATAAAGGAAGAAAGTTTTAAATAAAAACTATAATGTTGCTTTAAAAGTGTCCGTTACTTTCTTTTTTAAATGGTCTGCGTTTTGAAGAAAAGCAGGAGAAGTTCGTAAGCTCAGATACAACGAAAGCAGAATCAATCGGAGATATGAAAAATTATCTCAGATATCAAACTTTACATATTATTATGAGGTTTTTAAATTGTATACATTTTGGTCCGCTCGCAAACATTTATAAATTTTTTCGAGTTTTTTTGATTTTTTTTTTTAGTTCTTAAGACACACACACACACGCACACACACACATACATACACACACACACACACACACACCTATCTCTACGAATCACCCCATTGGATTGATTTGAACCCATTATTAGAAACAAAATGTTTCAAAGAACCCAACTTTGATTAAGTAAGATGAAACTTAAGTGATTATATAATTCACCTTTATTCATTTCGTACAGGCTCAACAGAAAGGAGATAACATGTTTATTTTGTCAACTTCACCCCGCAACTTGAAATAAGTCGAGTGCCCATCTCTAATGGCTTTTCTCATGCATGGAGGACGCAATGCGCAAAAACTCTCAAGCATACAATGCCCTGTATACTGTCCAAAACTGCCCGGGTTGACGTCCAGTTTCGGCGCCGATACAGGAAAAAAGCCTATCATGAAACTTCATATATGGAGTCTATTCATAAAACATTTGCGTTTTTTCAAGCAAAACTTTTTTCAAAACTATCTTAAACTGGTTTATAAGTCAAGCAATACAAATTGATGGTTATTTTAGTTGCATGAGAGCCAATTTTTCATGAAATTTTTTTTTTGCATAAAAAAAGGCTCATCATAAAATTTTTTGAAAATTTTATGATATGGATTATCCCATATAAAGTCAAAATTGAGATAAAGTTTTATTTATCCTTTTTTCAAACTCCCTTCTGTGCTCAAATAAACATTTTACGAAAAAAAATAAGCATTCAAATTTTCATACTTTCTGTCCATAATGTGAATTTTACCTTAACAACCCAAACATCATAAGTGAGTGTTTTTTTAACACATTTTTTAAATTTTGTTTTCATATAATAGGAAAAATGGAACCTGATCTAAACTACATTTTATTATTGGAGAAATTAGTTTTTTACCACTGTAAAATATTCAATATTAACCAATCATAATCCATCTAACTAACAACCCACTTATTTGTAAAAGCTGAAATTGCTTGTAATTTCAGCACCAGAGATATTTGAATTTAACTTAGAAATTAGTTACCTCTCCAAGAGAACTTCAGCAGTTGCAATAAGCCAGTATACTCTAGATCTATTGAGCCTACCAGATACTAGTTAAACACCCTGAGACTAGTAGATATAAGAGTAAGATTAGGATCGGTATTAGACTAAGAAGTTGCACGAATCTATCCGGCCGAAAAAAAGATAGCGTGACGAGCAGACGATGTACCCTATCCGAAATTACTCTATGAGTTAACCTCAAGGACCTAACTCATCTGTTGCGACCATAAGTCTCGAATAAGACCTTAATAGCTGAGAATTAACCAAATATAGATTAGAAAACAGACAAAACATTTTCAAAATGTTACATGATAATAATTTAATTGAAATGTCTCTACGACTCAATAGATCAGAGCCGCTATTCCGCACAATACGAAAACTACCCGGTATTGGAAGAAGACCTCGGACAAGAGACGATTTACGAGTACGTAGAAACTTACCATTTAGTTTCATGGTTGTACGGCAAAAGCCAACTTAAACTTTTATATTTAGAATCATATTAGCAATGAATTTGAATTTTCATTTGCAAACATAAAATTTTGAAGTAAACCTTCATGATTATTTCAGGCGCTAAACAAAATTACTAATGTACAATAACGATTGATAAAAAGATGTCAAATTGTTTTCTCAACTTCTGCAGTATTATAAAAAACATATTTGAAAAATATTTATTGAAAACAAAAATAAAAATTAGAATGCCATCGGGAAACCGATGAGTAGTGTCCCAGCGCCGGAGGAGAATGATATGACGCACGAGAAGATGATGGAACTAGAGCCTCTGCTGGAAGCTTCGGGAGAACGCAATCTCCGAAGCATAGAAATTACACATCGGGAATGCCCATGCCATTGCTTGGCACAGACAGTGTGGTACCCGGAGCATTCAAACCTTTGTTTAGTGTGGGATGTAGAAGAAATTCGGTCAATCGGGTTACTCGATCATCAGCAGAAGGTGACCATCTTGGTAGTGAGTAAGATGTTGGCGTTACGATGGATCCAAGAAAATGTAACGAAATATAGGGAGTCGAAGACACCAACGACGGAATCGATATACGCTATAGATTACAGCAGGAGACTTGAGTTGTTTGAGACTGTATGCAAGGTATTCGCCATACCAATGGAAGTCAGGCACGTATGGAGCCGCATAAGGTTCTTTCCGTGGTTTCGAGCGACGTTGACATCTTGGTTGTACATAGCGACGAAAGATCACATGAAAAAACACCAAAAGGAATATCGACAGTTCCTGGCGGAGATAGGTCCGGAAGCCTTCAAGAGATCTCTGCTGGCCCATCGAAGTGCGATCACAACAGGTTGGAAAAGAGTCGGTAGGGTGTCTAGAGGTAATACCAAAGCAAAAGAATCGATACTGGAGGAGGACTTGGCGAAGAACGTGAGCTTGAGCCTGCACAATTCCTTTTGCTTGATCAGGGAATTGGAAATGAAAGGTTTACCGAATCAGGCAGTGAGGTTACAGGAGCAGAAGGAG